ATAATTGCACCAAGTTTCGTTAAAATCCGTCGAGTAGTTTTTGTTTCTATAAGGAACATACACACAGACAGACAGACAGACAGACAAAAATTTTACTGATTGCATTTTTGGCATCAGTATTGATCACTAATCACCCCCTGATAGTTATTTTGAAAATATATTTCATGTACAGAATTGACCCCTCTACAGATTTATTATAAGTATAGATGATTAAATGAAATTGGAACGATATAGCTTACGGTTATTCTGATAAAATAGTCATTGTTCTAAATCATTGTTGATTTATTTATTGTTTCTAGTGCATTTTTATTAGATAAAAAGGTTTTTTAAGCATGTAAGTGCTTGGTGTTTAAATCTAAAGAAAATATAACTAGAATAAATCCCACGCGGACCAGGTAGCAGACGGGACTCGAACCCGCACCCTTCGTTATGCGGGCGAATGCACTGACCGATATAATTGCTCCCTGAGGTCTTGCAAGGTCCAATTTCCATAAAGGATTGTTAATGCTAACTAAAGAGGTGCATTTTTTGGCAGTATCAAGAAAATCAAGTGTTGCAGCGGTGCGGATGCATGCATATGCGAGAAATCATATTGATTCATTGTTTATAGTCTTAGTCTTAATTAAGAGCCAGTGTTTCGCAGACTTACGGTTTAGTAGCAAACTTTATATTAATGCTAGTTATACTAATTCATCTGCCGTAGATCAAATGGGGGTTCACTATTGTGCCTAGAAGTCGAAAAGCATGAAAATCGACTTTCAAAACGTGTTCGCAGCATGTCTGCCGTTTTGATGTCTTAAAATATATATTTTTTTTATAGAAAAACTTAATGGCAGACACTTGTTCCGGTTCCTACTATATTTTATATAATATATCATAGTGTCCAAAATTTTATAAAATTTGCTTTATTTTAGTAAATCTAAAAATTATATATGTTATTTATATTATTATTATAAACATATATTTACAAAAACAGACCCATAGGTCATGCTTTTCGACTTCTAGGCACGCCTAAAGGAACCCTCTATGGGAATAGTGAACCACCATTTGATCTACGGCAGATGAATTAGTATAACTAGCATTAATATGAAGTTTGCTACTATACCGTAAGTCTGCGGAACATTAGTTTCGGTCTATCTCAAGCAATACACATCTCAAGCATTTGTTTTCCTATATCGTCATCATCAGCCTATTAATAGCATAGCAGTGGAGACATTAATAGGTTGAAGATAGGGCAACAGGGGCTTCTTCAAAGTTGCTGCGAAACTTCAACGATCGCAGTTGAACGCGCTAATTAAATGCGCCATCGAGCTCCTTTTCTTATACCTAAATGGTGTAACATTAAACATCATCATCATCAGCCTATGAATGTTCCCACTGCTGGGGCACAGGCCTTCCCTATGAATGGAATAGGGAGATTGGACCATGACCCACCACGCGGGCCCAGTGCGGTTTGGCGGATGCTAACGACTGCAGATGCAGCCGGGACCAACGGCTTAACGTGCCTTCCGAAGCACGGAGGAACTCGATACTAAATTTTTGGTCACCCATCCAATGACCGACCACTGCGAAAGTTGCTTAACTTCAACGATCGCAGCCGAACGCGCTAACCACCTGCGTCATCGAGCTCCTCAAAGGGAGCTCCTCCTAAATTATTATATCTTTGTAAACATCACGGTTTTACTCGAAGTAATCCCACTGTAGAGGATACTTCAGTGACGTCGCCAGGGAAATCACCATGCCATTAATTATACGTTTTTCTGCGCATCTTGTTTATGCAGCATAGCGTAATATCCCTTGTAATATTTTATAAAATGAATTCTATTATTAGATTATTTTAATTAAGACAAATATATGTGGTAAGTAAAATATTTTGAAGCGCATGTTTCAACTATTTGAGTTCTCAAAGGAAATGGTGCAAGAAATTAGTCTTCTTGGAAGCAAGCAAGAAAATTGGTGATGTTGTTTTACGGTCGGTGAGGTAGATGCCTGGTTCTACGGAGTAGGGGCAAGGGCGTATTTTAAAACTTGACTTACTTGCAATTTGCCGCCCCTCATGCTCATTTTTACCGTGGAATGCATCGGTGTGATTTGAAATTTATTTGAAATTCGCGTTCTAATTTTAAATCCCACCCCGGATACCGAGGTGAAAAGTGAGTTTGTTCTTACAGAATAACACTGCTGGTAATCTCATTAACATTTAATTCATTAGCAAAATTAAAAAAATCATAGGTAAATTGGTAACTTAACATATCTTAACTAACATCACTAATTGTAAATCAAACATAAGATTAAACAATAATTATTTACCTATAATAATGGCATGAATTACTTAATTTATTTTGGGAATCGTTGGAAGTTCATTGTGGATCTACGATTTGGTGAGAATTTCGTATCGTTTTTCTTCTTTCCCTGTTCTATTTTGTTACTATAATTCAATTGAACCATGCCCATCTTTCTAGATGCTGAAGAGATGATAGAAGCCATTGTTTCCGACGGATGAGGTAAATCCGGCATTTGAGATACGTATTCCCGAAGTTTACTTCTCATTTCGCTTTTGTCGAGTTCACTCTCATTCTGGGTGGTTTCAAAACTGGAACTTTGCACAGATGTATTGTATGAATCATCGGTAGTATCAAAATCACTAATCTCACGATAGTATGACAGTCTCAAGTGGGACTCGTCGTCTATGAAATAACCGGACGTTTCTTGCTGCGTTGTATTCGGAGTTTTCGGCGATTCATTATTTTCACAACTCATTTCCAATTTTGTTATTTATGTAGGTATTATATTGCTTTGCAGCTATGATTAAAGCGCTCGTTCTAGGAATCGCTTTGTTCGATCGCAACTGAAGTTTATGATCGAAATGTCAATTCATAATAAGTAAATTAGTTTTGTAACTACCTTCACTGGGTGTGTAAATAGTACTTCTACCAATTCAGAAACGTGAAAATATTAAGTTAGGTACTTTAAATCTCCAGAATTTATCAATAGCATTCACATGATAAAAAAATAACCTTTTGATGTGCGTGACTCTTAGAGCATACTTTAAGGCGTGACTCAACTTGAATTCAAATACAATACCTAATGAATTTATTTATCTCTTAAATTCGGTAGGTATAAAACTAGATTTACAATAATATCAAAAACTTTATTTGCGGCTATGGTTTTCAATAATTCATTATGCTGTCTACATTATTGAATTACATTTATAGATTTTGACGACCTCCGTTTCCGAGTGGTTTGTACGCCGGGTTTCATGGTGTCGCCGACTCGAGAGGTCCCGGTGGGGGCAGATGTTTGTGTGATGAATACGAGCATTTGTACTCCAGTCCATGGATGTTTAATATGTATTTCTAAATAAATACACGTATATATGTATCAGTATATGTATTCTATCCGTTACCCTGGTGTCCCCATAACACAAGCCTTACAGTGCTTACTTTGGCGCTAGGGTAATTGATGTGAGTGTTTAAAAGAAAAGATTATATTTATTAATGGTTACTCGAATTGAAACAGCAATGGTTGGCAGCAAATAAATACTGCTTACAGAGGAGTGATGCAGAATAAAACCAATTGACATTAGAAATAATCTTTTGCCCCCTTATTAATAAACGAAGACTACGCTTGCATTACTTACTCCATGTTTTGTCTCTGTCTATTGAATGACAAATGGCATTTAAGTGACATGAACAAAAAACGGCGTAACTAGTCTAAGCTAATTCCTTGTTTATTAATAAGGGGGCTGGTGTGTAGTCAAGTGCCTGTAGATTTATATACCTGTAGTAGTATAATATTTGCCAGAGTATAAGTGCAATCCCTTAATATGATCCAGAGTGGTTGGAACTTCATATTCTCTGCTTCACTACCTACATATATATTATGTTTGCCGGGACCAGTTAGTATACTATATAACATAGTATACTAGCTGGCCTGGCAAACTTAGGACCGCCATATTTTTTTCGTGTATATTATCCAAATTCCTGAAAGACGGTTTCACGGTTTAACGATATGTGCCCGCTGTCGATGTTTTGTCACTATATTGAAGTTCTCACAGTATTCTGTCCCATACACTCAATTGCTTTTCATAATAACATTATGAGGTTTAAAAAACAGATTCTTTTATTATCAACAAACCCTGCCCTGAAAATAATAAACACAGTAAAATAAATTATCCATTTTGGTGCAATCTTTCGAAAGTTATATGCGTAGTTAAGTGCATATTTAATTAAATAGTCACGCCTTCATTTTTATTTATACTTAAAAATTTAACAACAGATAAATGGACAAAAAAATCAGTACATCTATACCGTTGAGATTTGTTTTATTTAATGAGTGGTGTGCGTGAAAACTTAAGAAACAAAGATGAATGGAGTCAGTGCATAGCGCGCATAGTGAAAAAAGTCTTTTGATGGAATCTAATTGTAATTTTATTTCTTTATTAAAAACACATTACACTATTATAACAGGTATACCTAATTCATTCATTTATAATACCTACGTCCCTAAAAGTAGTAATCTGCTAAGCAGGGTTGCAGTCGGGACCAACTTGCCAAATCACGGAAGAGCTCGAGATAAAGCTTTTTTGGTGGCCCATCCTATGACCGGCCATTGAAAAAGTTGCTTAACATCCACGAACGAAGTACGAACTGAACGCACTAACCACTGTACCATAGAGCTTTTCATTTTATAATCAAGTTGTAAACATATAAGTACGCTACTGAAAAAGGTTTTGTTTTATAAACCTGTCCCAATCCCCTACCCCGTGGAGCCCTGGAAACTTACTTACCGATAGAAACACAACACCATCAATAGGTAGTGTTATTTTTCTGTGATCTTCTGTAACTTCCACAGACGAATTCTTGAAACAAGAATTATGGCTTTTCCATTTATTATCCGTAACTGTCGAAGGAATATTTGCAGCATTTAGCTTAAGTTTTATCTTTACGTTGTGGCGGTGATTCAATCTTTATATTTTATCTCACTACGCTGGGTTTTACAGTCACATGCTGTCGCTAGGAGATTTTCTTTATCGATCGGCAATCTCTTGTGTGTCAATTTTATCAATCGACACGTTTACTATAAAATCATACGAGTGGGCGGATAATCCAGCATTACCAATCACCGGAAATTCAGGGAAGATGAAGTTCCTAGTTGTACTTTTTGCTTTGGCTTCCGTTGCCTTTTCGGCTCCACAGCCTAGGAAGATCTTCCACGAGAACTATGAGGACTTCATGGATGTGATCTCGAAGATCTCCGGTGACGAGATCGCTCATATCATGTCTCATTACAACGAGTACGAAGAGTTCCAGACGACCTTGACTTATTTGAGCACTGCCGATTTCAAGAATCTGGTCTATGAAATGGAATCGCTGCCCGAATTCCGCGATGTGAGTGCAAACCATTTATTTACCATGTTTTTTAATTAATTGCAGAAGGAAAAGTTGCTAATGGGAAGTTAATAGCAATTAAACGTTTTCTAAACAAATATTGCTAGCTAAAATTTTACTAGGTCCTGTTTCCAAACAAATCCGCATTTTCCGCTTTTTCGAATAAAACCTGGAACGAGAAAAAATAATTCCAGTAAATTTTTAAATTTAAACATTGCTTGCAAAAACATTGTTTGAATGCTTAAAAATACATAAAAATAAACATTTTCTGCGAAGTCTCTAAATAAGTACCTACTAAGTTCTGAATCTGAATAAACAAATTGAATTTGCCTATTAGATTTGTTGATAAAGCTTATAGAAAAGAAAAAGCATAAATTATCGATCCTGTTTTATCTTTTATGGGAAAATGTCTGAAATATCGTTTTTTATAAATAGACTATGAAATAATCGTCTCTGTATCAATATCCACAGGTGCTCGATTTCTTGGAAGGCCACAGCATCGACATAAATTATTTCATCGACTACTTCAACGAAGTATTAGGTAAGAAATTTTATATCGTAGCAACTTGTAATTTTTTCGTAAATAACATAATCTACTTTTGTTCTACTTCTATTAATAACGGCAGTTCATTTACGTTATAAAAATCAAATAAGTAGGAATTAGGAGTATCATATCACTTTATAAGAGCTTCTCCTATTCCATTACAATTGTATAATAGGTAGTTTAAGCTGGAAAAGCGTTAGTTTAAGCGTGGTGGGTCATGGCCCAATCTCCCTATTCCATCCATAGGGAAGGCCTGTGCCCCAGCAGTGGGGACATTAATAGGCTGATGATGATGATGAAGCTGGAAAAACCATACCAAGATATTATATTTCTTGACAACATCTTATACATATTAATATCTCAAACAAACTTTCGTTCCTTTTATAAATAATGTATTTTTCTAATAATGTTATTAATTGCATACAGAAAATCCTGACTTCGATGGCAACCGGCGAAGTGCTCGCCACGAAACCAGTGGCCGTGATTTCAGCTCTTTTATCCGGGATGTTACCGCTATACTGCCTAAGGCCGAGCTGGCCGCACTTTACGACCAGAAGATGGTCGAGGACGAAGACTTCAAGGCAGCAATGGAGGGACTACAGAGTGAGGAATGGGAGCAGGTTTTCGACGTCTTGTGGGCGAGCGAAGTGTTCCAAGTCGAAGTGAAAACATTAGCTGACAATGGAGTCGAAATGGACCTCCTCCTCGACCAACTCGTCGCTGTATTTGGCCAAAATTAAACGTCGTCACCGTCGCCGCGCGTAAAATCGTAATTGTTGTAATAAAACTGTTTATGTAAAACTTAATGGGTTTTTATTTATATTTCAAGTGTACTTAGAGATTGAAAAATAGTGTTTGATAGTGATTGTTATATACACACATCAAAAGTGTCTAGGGATCAAGCATTTTTATGCGGATTTCTTGAGATTGAGATGTGGCTTTGTAATAAATTTATGATTTTATAAATTTATATGGAGGATCCATATAAATTTATAAAATCATAAATTTATTATATTTGGTGCATTTCATAATTTGAATCAGGAACTGTGAATCAAATTCGAGTAAAAGATGAAAATCAGCTGTCAATATTTTCCCTATAAAAACATACAACGCATTGAAGACATTATTAGTGCTACTGTTTCCCTACTACTGATTAAAACCAACGTTATTATGGAGCGGCGACGTCATTTAAGCAGGGAAGAAATGCTCAGAGCCGTGGGAATGATAGAAGCTGGTTCCCGGCAACGTACTGTGGCTTTAGCTCTGAATACAAGTCAGAGTGTTATCAGTCGACTTTGGACACGATACCGAAGCACTGGTACCGTGGCTGAGCACCATGGAGGACGGTATCGCTGCACCACACGGAGACAAGACCGATACATTCAAATCTTAACTCGAAGAGCTCCAACAATAACCGCCATGATGTTAGCCGTGAGGCTTCATCACTCTTCAGGGAACTTAATTAGCGACCAAACAGTCAGAAACCGCTTGCATGAAGTGAACCTTCATTCCCGAAGACCGCTACTGGTACCACCTATAGCAATGCACAATCGTAGGATTCGATATCAATGGGCTCTTGAACACAGAAATTGGGCAGAAGAACAATGGCGTTTCGTGTGCTTTTCTGATGAGTCTCGTTTTGGTATGAGACCGGATACAAGACGTATACGACACTGGAGAACCCCTGGACGCCAACAGCGATTAAAATCCTGCCAGGAAGTCCATCCTTATAGTGGTGAAACCATCATGGTATGGGCGGGTATTTGGATCGGCGGAAGAACTGAGTTGATTTGGATCAGAGGCAACCTCAACGCTCAAATTTATGCTGAGACGATTGTATCAGACGTCATCGTTCCTCTACAAGTGCAAATCGGTCCCTTATTTCAGTTAATGCATGATAATGCACGACCGCACACCGCAAGAGTTGTAAGACAGACTCTCGCCGCAGCTAACATCAATGTCCTGCCCTGGCCTGCTCAGTCGCCAGACTTGAACCCGATTGAGCATGCATGGGATATGCTACAGAGAAGAGCTCTGCCGAATATGGAGGGTATCCAGTCGCAAGAAGACCTTTTTTTGTTGTTGCAACGAACATGGGCGGCCATTCCACAGCGTGATTTGGATGAACTCATTTTGAGTATGCCAAACCGATGTTCTTGTGTTGTTAGTGTTCGCGGTAGAAATACGGATTATTAATTGTTTAAGTTACCCAATAAAATTTTAGAGAAAACTGTTATTTCAGTCTTTTTTTCGAACTTTTGTGTTAGTGGTTCAAATGTCAAAAATCCCTTTATTAGGAAAATGGCAAATTTCTTTATTAATGCAAAGGTGACTTGGTTTATCGTTACTGTGACAAACGAAAACACTTTATTTGATGAATCCTTAAAGAAATTTTTAATTAATATCAATCAGGAGAAAAGTTATTGCAAAAATATATGTTGATCCCTAGACACTTTTGATGTGTGTATATTTTTACTAGCTGACCTAGCGAACTTCGTACCGCATTAAAAATAGGGGCTGGTAGTAGAAAGGTGAAAATTTAGGGTTGTATGTATTTTTTATTGCCACGTTATAAAAAAATATTTTTTTGTCCAACCCTTGTCACTGAGGGGTATAAAAAATAGATAGTGGCCGATTCTCAGACCTACTGAATAAGCATACAAAATTTCTTGAAAATCGGTTAAGCCGTTTCGGAGGAGTATGGTAACTAACATTGTGATACGAGAATTTTATATATAAGATAATGAAGAGTGTCACATGTTGCCTAATATCTCAGGCTTTATCAGTAACTTCACTTCTTAGCATATGGTATCAGGAAAAGACTGTCAGTACGCCGATAATACTAATAATGAAAGCACGACTTTTATAATATGAAGAGTTATTATTTGGCTAATCACACAAAAAACATGTAGATTTTATTAGGTTTTCTGTTCGAAATTGGATAGGGGTAGGACACAAAACAAGGCTGCAAGCAAATCCATAGAAGATCTCTTCCATGGTGTATCAACTCTTCATGCAACTCCTTTATGGTCAGCACTCCTTATATCATCTTTCACTCAGTTACTATTAATATTATGGTTCATGTATCTTAAGAATCATAATATTATGCAGAATTATTAAAATACAAATCACTTACAAATGCTGACAGACAGACAGATAATACTGCAATTTTGGAAGTTAAGCCACTATCACAATGGCCGGTCACAGATAGGTGACCAAAATTTATTATATAGAGTTACGGTTTTATTACAATTGGTCATTAGCCCGTATTCGGGTGCACGAAAGACATTACTCGGATTCGGGCACCCGAAGCAATATTTATACTGGAATACGGGGTGGAAGCCAGCGTCGGGTAACCATAACGAAAACTACCCGAATACTCTACTCCGTCCATTTCCACTTAGTTGTTTTCCCGAATTCCAGTGGCACTCGTATTCGGGCTAACGACCAAATGTAATTGCGCCATTAGTTCGTGCTTCAGATTGCACATTAAGCCGTTGGTCACGACTGTGGCACATCTGCGATCATTAGCAATTACTAAACTACCAATTCATTATAATATTATTAAGCTCGAGTGGTGGGCCATGATCAATTCTCCTTATTCCGTTCCAATTGAATGAACGATGGATTGATGAATGCACGGATTGATGATGGTCGAAATTGTGAAGGAAGTAAATAAAGCGGATAGGTAGCGGATTTTATTTTCTAGATGCTGTCACATTCTTAGCGATAACAATAGTTAGTTATTTTGTTGTTATCAGCACCACGTTAGTGTGACAAGCATTGAATTTATTTAATGTTTCTGTTTGGGCCCCTACGTTGCGAGCATTAGTGTGGAAATTAAAAAAGAAAACTCGCCATTGGGCATATAACACTAGTGGAATAATTCAGCGCATAATGGAGAACGTTCCACAGTACCGTTCGGTATGTTTTCTTATGTTTATCTTTGAATAGGGGTGATGAATGGGGTACAGTAAACGAAATTCTATTAAGTCCGTCAGTTAGATGATCAAAAAATAATGGACACGTATTTTTCTTTGGGCAATCAACCAAAAAATGACAAAGTTATAGCTCGTCAAAGTTTGGGAGTCTCGTGACGTCACTTTTAAGTGAAAATTGTACCAAAACGTGACGTCATGCGACTTTTCAAATCAATATATCTCTGCAATGTTTCTATTATATGAAAAAAGAAAAAAGACGTGTCCAATACTTTTTGATAAACTACCTGATAAACGAATAAAAAAAAATAGTCATCTTTCCTATTCTCCTATAATACAAATCTATTGAACCGTCCATATTTTTTCTGTTTTTTTTCAGTCTTTTGTGTTTTTTTTCCACTAATTGGGATCAAAGTTTTGAACCAGTATTTAATGACTGATATTTACGTTTTCGAGGGTGCGTAATCCTTCCGCTTTCAATAATTAGCCAATATATATCACCACACACACACACATATATATATATATATATATCTATACATAATATGTCCCAAAGTAATCGATTACAGGTTTTAATTTTCATAAAATAAGTTATGAATCATTAGTATCTTTTATTCTCTTCCAAATTGGCGATTGCGGGGCAAAAATAGGTCTATGGAGAAACACTTAAATGCAAATTGAAGCTTATGATGCTCTCTATTAAAAAATGAGAAAAATTTTAAAAAACAGCCAAAGAAATGATCGTGAAGAATTCCTCTAAGTATCGCTGAACTTTATTCAATTATTCAAAGAACCAAATTTTCTAATCAATATTTTTTTACCTTTATTAAACTTTCTTTTTAATCGTTGCTCCTGCTCCCTTTATGCCCCAAAGTGCTAAAATTTCCAGAAATAGATAGGGGGCATCAAAAGCTTCAATTTGTAATTTAGTATTTCTCTTTGGACCTATTCTTTTTCCTGCAATCGGCATTTCTTTTACCATCGTAAGTTTAGTAAGTTTTTTTACCATCGTAAGTTTAGTAAGTTTTTTTTACCACCGTTGTAATTTTCTACGATACGAAATCGCACCATGAAACGGTAACCACATCGTAGCACGACCCGACGCATAAGGTCACGGTAGCATAGCGTAGCGATTAGTGCATCCACCTGGCTAGCGAAGGAAACAGGTTAGAATCTTGCCTGACTCCTTAGTCAGGCAAGGCAAACATTTTCTTTACATTCATCATCAGTCGATTAATGTCCCCACTGCTGGGGCACAGGCTTTCCCTATAGATGGGGCACTAACAACGTTGGGATTAGGCACGCGGGCCCAGTGCGGATTGGTGGGTGCTAACGATTGCTGGCGCATCCAGGACCAACGGCTTAATGTGCCTTCGGAAGCACGGTCTTCGAGATGGTAAATTTTTGGTCACCCATCCAATGACCAACCACTGCAAAAGTATATGCGCTTTACTTCCGAAAGACTGAACCAAATAAATAAATATTTCCAACACACACCAATTAGATAATTCTTTTTTTATTGGGTTCGTCATCGTCAGGACAAGGTTTTAAGAAAAAAAATGACCAAAAATTTACTATCTTGAGCTTCTCCTTGCTTAGGAAGGCACGTTAAGCTTTGGTCCCGCCTGCAACTGTAGTCGTTAGCATCCACCAAGCCGCACTGGGCCCGCGTGGTGGGTTATGGCCCAAACTCCCTATTCCATCCATAAGGAAGGCCTGTGCCCCAGCAGTGGGGACATTAATAGGCCGATGATGATGGCGAAGTTCGCCGGGTCAGCTAGTTAGAGATAAAGATCGTCTTAAGACATAAGTCTTATAAAGGAATCATTTGTTCTTAGATCCACTTAATCTACTCGCTATGTTTGTGCTTTATATTAACTTTGATAAGAACACGTTGGTCGGCAATTTGAAGACTGTGATTTGAAGTATATCTCTGCCCGAAAGAGCCCTTAGTTAGCTGTTAGTGCATTTGCCTGGACAGCGATTCATAATGAATTTATTCTAACTATACAAAATTTTCTTTACACTTATTATTCGAACAGATTTACCTTAAATAAAATATAATAAACAACAATTTCTTTTTTCTTTGAGTCTAGCATTCTTCCTCGTCAGGAACAGCAACAAGCTTTTCGTCTTTGTACTTAAAGAAAGATATAATATTGAACAGTGAGAAAATAGGTATGTAAATTTTTCCGAGATCATGGCGAATTAATTTTTAGTTTTTCTGTTTATCATCTGTAACAGTCATTGGAAAAGGAAATACATATTTGCAACATTAGGTACATCTTTTTTTGGACGGTGATTCAATTTATTAAATCTCACTGGGTTATAATCAAAATTTCAAAAGTTTGTATTTCTTTATCTTTTGACAAACTCTTCAAAGTCAATTTTATCAGTCGACACATTTAGTATATATATTGATTGGTGTGCGAAAAATTCAGCATTACAAATCTCTGAAGATAAAGGCAAGATGAAGTCCCTGGTTGTACTGTTCGCTTTGGCTTCTATTGCCTTATCGGCACCACAGCCCAAGAAGGTCTTTCACGAAAATTACAAAGACTTTATAGATCTGATTGAAGAACTGTCTGGTGACGAGATCGCTCATCTTATGTCTCATTATATAGTGCACGAAGAGTTCATTGCCACTGTAGCGTATTTGAACACTGCTGATTTCAAGAATCTGATCTACGAGATGGAGTCTCTGCCAGAATTTAGCGATGTGAGTGAAATTCGTTTATTTATATTATCATCAGCTTTTTAATGTCCTTATTGCTGTGGCGAGAGGCCCAAGCGCGAACTTTGACAGCTCCGTAATCGTATTGCATTATCAAAGTTTCTATGAAAACTAAGCAGCGCAGCAACCTACCGGACGAGAGGACAAACTGGCTCCTTCCATACAAAATGCAACGATGACAAAACAAAATTCGTGCAAAACGATGACAAAAAAAAACATATTGCGCCGTGAGTTCACCACACAGGACAGCGCTGGGATCAATGGTATAACGTGCCTCCCAAAACATGGAGGAGCGTGGGATGATAAACTATCGGTCACCCATTCTATAGCCGGCTATTACAAAAGTTGCTTAAGTTCCACGTTCGCAGACCGAATGCTCTGCGAATCGACAGTTTTCACTTTTTTTCTTTTTAAGCGATTGCATGATAAAAAGGAGCATTTATTGCATTATACCAAGCCGCTAATACTAACAACGTTGGACTAAATTAACGATTATAATATTTCTTAATTTATTTATTTACTCTTTATTGTTTTGTAACAAATGGCGGACTTAATGCCACTTGGCATTTTCTACCAGTCAACCATCGGGCTAAGCAGAGACATTATGCGGTAAAGTAAATTAAAGCATTATAGTAAAAGAGAAAGAAAAACAAAATTAAATTGATAAAATTACATTAAATAACTATAATTTAGCCCAAGAGTTACACTTACAGAGTTGACGGTAGCAGTAGTGGCGCGAGTTCAATGATTTTTCCCATCTCAGAAATGCCATACACGCAACAACACGCATAAAGAGAGATTTGAAATTGGTCCAGTAGTTTTTGTGTTTATGCGTTACAAACATTATTTTTTTTACAGATGTAGTAAAGATGCTCGTGGAGGCAATGAAATAGTTATTTGCTAGATTTTGTCACATACTATCTATTTGATTTATTATATTCAGTTTTGTTTCACTGTGCACAGGTGCTCGATTTCTTAGAAAGCCACAGCATCGACATCACCTATTTCATCGACTTCATCAACGAGATGTTGGGTAAGGATTATGAGTTTATTACTTGCAATTCTGTAAACTACATAGTAATGGTTTCCTTTGCTATATTTCAAATCAGAACTTCAGCGCCGAATCAGGTTTCTAGGCCATCTCTGAGGCGATGGAAAGTAATTTGCATCTTTTCATCCAAAACGTATTAGAAATTTGCGTTTACTACTTTGTACAAATTGCAGTAGATATTTATCTTAGAAAGAAACACCCAGAAATATATTGACTTGTCTCGTTAACAGGGCTTGTTTAACGCTTAATTTTTAAACCTAAATCAGTGTCAAGTACATTAGGAGCGTTTTATTTAGGTTTGGCTCTACCTTAACCTTAAAAAACCGGTTTTCCTAAAGAGGGCAATCAAATCAGTTTTGTATCAATTTAGCGGTTTTGGGAGGGTTTCATTTCGCTCTTTCTGACGGCATCGATAATAAATGAATAACTTGACTCACTAGAAGCTAGCAAACGTATCAATAAATGCATCAATCTCTGAGCATTAACAAGTTGTGACTTGATTAGTTCAAACAAAACAAACTTCAAGCGATGCCGACGCGTGCACGTGTCGCTCTGGATTAAACCGGTTTATTAAGGTTTTAGGTACCGCTTTCATTTCGGACGCGCTCCGAATGAAACCTTTACTAAAAACCGGTATTTACCTTTATTTACCGGTATTTTCGAAACCGGTTTCAAGCCCTGCTCGTTAAAGTGGTTTAAAAGTTTGATTTCATGTAAATTGTTTTCTAAATAAGATATAGTGATTTCTCTTTATAAATAATGTAAAAAATCAATGACAAATCAGTCGGATTAAAACGTTAATTTGTAATAATGATTTTCATTATCTTCTTTATCCCGACGTTTTGACACATTTAGTCGCCCCGTGACCACAACCAGTGTAACCTGGTTGAAACGTCCATCGGGATAAGAACCCGTTAAATATTGCATTTTAGTGTAACGCGAAAGTTTAAAGTGTATGATGAAAAATATTTTTTGTTTCAAACAGAAAACCCTGATAGCGAAACAGATTTCCGAAATGCCCGCCACGAAACCAGTGGCACTGATTTCAACTCATTCATTCGGGACACTATCGTTTTGGTGCCCAAGGCCGAGTTGGCTGCACTTTACGATCAGAAGATGGTCGAGGATGAAGACTTTAAGGCTGCCATGGAGGGACTGCAGAGTGAGGAATGGGAGCAGGTATTCGACGCCTTGTGGGCGAGCGAAGTTTTTCAGGCCGAAGTGAAAACGTTGGCTGACAATGGAGTCGACATAAATCTCCTCATCGATCAACTTGTCGCTGTATTTGGACAAAATTAAAATTTTATAAAATATTTCGATATATATTTTAATTATAATTACTAAGTAAAAAACTTGGTTTTATTTCTATTTCAAGCCCATTTAAAGATAACAAAATCCAAGTGACGGACAATATCGTCATGAGACACTTTTTCTACAAAGAGGAGTTTCACAAGGTGCATTTTGTTTGAGACTTTTTTTACTTAAAAAAAGGCATTGGCACGATATAAATGACATTTACAATATCAATTAATGGGTAGGTACTTATAGGTAGAAATTAACTATATATTTATATTTGTAGTTCGAGCTTCGTACTGCCTCTTTGATTTTAAAGATTTGCAAAGAAAAAAATACGAAAAGTTTAATTATTCTGCAAAAGACAGTCTTCGTTCAAATTTATGAACTAAAGATTTAAGTTATTTAAGTTTCATTTATCTACATAAATGAAACTTAAAAATTTCATTTACCTTCTTTCAGATGATACATCATAGTCCAAATCTTGAAATTTCTTCATTCTCATTACGACCTCATATTAAACATACAAAGTTCAATATCAATTGGGAACCTTTCACAAATATAGGAAGCTCACTGCGAGCGAGACTCACTGTATATGTCACAAAAATAACAAAACGAAAGTTAGTAGTTTAAAAAAATAATAGTGCTGTGCTATTCTGTAAAGTCACCGCCATTTCCCAAAAAGAAGAAGAAGTTATGTCAGCTACTTTAATTTGAATACCATTTTCAATGCGTACTAATGATTCCATCGACTTGTTGAGCAAATACAGTATTATTATTTTTGGTTTTGAAAATCATCTTTCGCTGTGTGCTAATGTGACTGGCAACATGAGGTAAACCCAAAGTGCTGTGCATAGATACACAAATAATTTAAAATATCTACATACATATATCTACATATATATATATTTCTTTACAGAACTCTTACTTCTCAATTAAACTTTCCTTTGTATTCTAAACAGTTGAATTCGCAATATGATCCCGGGCATGTTTTCAAACGAATCATTGATACAGGTGCCACCGGTGCTGGCACGAGCGATACGACGATCACACTAATCAACTACACAAAATAAATTCTGCCCCCACTGTTATCCTATGTCTGTTATCGTGACTTAAACGCAGATCTTCTCAACAAATTGGACCGCCTAATCAATAACGCTATCCGTTTCATTTTTTGCCTCTGCAAATTTGACCATGTTTCCTCATGGCGATCACAATTAAAATGGCTTCCTATCCGCCAGCGCAGGCAGTTACGATTACTCTGCATTCTTTTTTCCATAATTTCCAATTCGCATTTTCCAGAGTATTTGAAATACAAGTTTCAATATCTCTGTGATAGTCACGAACGTCCTCTCCGCTCTTCACTCTTTATTCTTCTTTCTCATTCAGGCTATATATCCACCTCCTTTACTCTTCAAGCCATACGGCTGTGGAATGCCCTACCCGACTCCATCAGAAGATCTCCTAATAAACTTATATTTAAAAGGAATGTTCGCTCTCATCTGCATCAAAATTTAAGATGAATAGTCACTTTATTAATCATCATCATATGTATATTTATGTGTATGTATGTATATTTTGATGTATGTATCTATCTGAGGTAAATGAAGTGATTCAAACGCCTCAATATCGTAGTCTAAATAATGAAAATCGTGATCGTCTAGTTATTAATTTAAAGGAGATTGTTCAAATTGGCCCAAATGTACAAAAAATATGACGTATACGGTAATTCTTGGCGTAATTTATACTTTATTTTACAGTCATTAGATTTTAACGGACACCTTTGTATAATATATTCATTGTAAAATGGACTTTTAATTTTGCCGGCTTGGAAAACATAGGAATCATTTTTAATGACTATGGGTGTAGTAACATTCAGCCATAGATTGATGGAAGTTGTTTATATAACATCAAAACAAATCTATTTAGTAAAGATCGATAAAATAAATCTTTTTTTTTATTACACTTTGATATTATTATCCACAAGTATATTATCATTTTTAATGTATGCAAATGTGCTAAGACAAATAATATATATATAATAATAGATGGTAGGCGACATCATAAAGTCTATTGCCATACATTTTTCGCCAAACACCTCCATAAACACATTATATGGTGTGATACACTAAAAATCCAAAATAAAGTTATAATATAAACAAAAATAATAAGCTTTCTTTAGTTAACGAGAGTTTAAAAATTCTCTGTAATCTGTGGCTCATTCACAAATAACACACAGTTTCTGTCACAAAGTACCTTATTATAACCGGAAATGCATAGATGATACCTGATTTTAAAAGTTACTCTTACGCATTAACTTTAAAAACAGGCAACTATCTTTTAATGTACATGCTTTATATACCTAAATCTAATACATAATTTCGGTACTTGGTTTGATTTCCCTAGTTTGCTATATAAACTATTTGTTTTTTATTATTTTAATACCTATGTACCTATTTGCAAACATAACCTCAAAATCATTCAGTGTATGTGGTTTATAGAAGTTCTCAGGCGTGTCCGTCATTAATATTCGATTTTACAGTAATTTATATATAATTTTATATATAATTTCGAATCTAGGAAACAATTTTTCATGATTATTGGTCTTTAGGTCAAACATGTATGAAAGCTGAGCAATCTCCTTTCCTGTGTAATTAAAACCAATGAATCAAGGTGCCCATATCCAAAATCCCCTTTTAATACTTATAAACTTCGAAGAATCTGGCTCCCAAAGTTTGCTGTCGCTGGTAGGTTACCATTTTGATGATTTTAGGTATTTATTTCCTCATGGCAATTAATTATCGAGTCTCTAATTGTTTGTGACCTGTTCGCATGAGTTTAATAGCAGACAAAACTAGTACATGGCCTGTGGTTAGCGACCGTTCAGGCCGGTGTTCCAAACACGTTCCTGATTTTATATCCGATAAACAGTCAAGACAGTGTATATCATTTATTCAATCGTCATAAATTGACGTATAATAATAATATGCAAATATTCCCATATGTTTAATTGCGTGCACGCATTAATATGTTTTATTTTATATATTTACCCATTTATATAGCGCTTTATTGTTATTTTTTTTCATATGCTTTATAACATTTTTATTTTTTTTTATATCTTTTTGAAATATTGCCTTCTTTTCCTTCATTTTCATTGAGGTAACATACACTGCCCCAGCACGTTTGTGAGACGTCCTTACCCACTAAAATAGGAACACAAACGTTTTTGTCAATTACTAACGCCAAAAGGGTTTTATGATGGAATATTGAATGAAAGCATTAATGAGATATTATAACTTTTAATTTTGTTTCCAAGACTAACTTTATCTGGACTAAACCCGTCGGTGAGGACGAATTTAGTTTAATCCAGGGCAGATTTGTATTAACCTCAAAATTAATTATAAAGGTGTAGAGGAAAACCGATCTGCCTAAAGAAAAACCTCCTACTTTGGGCAATTAAAACTAATTCAATAATATTATTTAACAAAAAAATGGGACCATTTAATAAAAAATAATAAACAAACAACAATTTAAAAATATTGATTTAATTGCTACAATTGAAAAATAATCAAAATTTTATAAGATTTAATTGCTAGTTAAGTGTGAATTGCATGTCGTAATCGCCTATAATTAAAGTTTCACTAATAACGTGTCGTACTATAAATGTGTAAATAATAAATGTGTAAGTGTAACTTTGTTGGTGATCAAATAAATAAATAAATAAAAAAAAATAATACAAAACAAAGATTAATTGGCGAGCTAAAATAATTGATATGTGATTTTACCACGAAACTATATCGTGAAATACTACGCCAAATCTCCCTTCCTATACCTGTAACTTATAGTCGTTATTTAACGCCAATACTTGAAACATTTCGCTACACTTTTACAAAATTTTACTATGACACACACAAACGACAGATTATTTGAAAATTTACACCTTTTTTATAATATACGATCTATCGATTATATTAAGTGCATTCTTCGATTTCATGACTCCCAATCCCGAATGTGTAGACTCCACCAGAAACTCGTCCTTCCGCTCTTGTCCTTCCATCTTTGTTTCTCCCCACGTGACAATATTGAAAATAACATTATTTGGTTAATCTGACAATTAATTAACTTTAATTTTGACTCCTATTTGTTCAACGTTACGTGTGACCTTCTTTAAACTGTAGGATCAATTGTGTTCTACGCACCCAAACTTTTTTTCCCTACTTGGCTAAAGCATGTTAAACTATTTTTTTGCTGTTCAGTTTCTAAGAAGTCTTTTACAAGTATTGATTTTTTTATCGCTATTCGTTAGTTGTTATCTAAAGCGAATTATTTTAATATCGCTTTAGGTTCACCTCTGTGCGCCCGTGTGCGACGCACACTCTGCACCTTATGTAAAGACGCCTCTGTTTGTGATGTTATCTTAACGACGTATGGTTTATCGGAGTATAGATAGATTTTCCTAAAACATCATCTTCGAGATAAAACTGACGTTGATAATAAACTGAAATAACATATTTTTCATTCCACTGACATCGTTGCATAATAATATAATAATTTAGTTTTTAACCAGGTTTTTTCACTAGAACTCGCACGTATTTTTTTTCATTTAAACAATATAATATGAATTAAAACTTTACTAATATTGTATTTCTTTAAATCGGCTGGTAAGCTGAAGTAATTGATAGACAAACAAAAAAAATCCTTGATTCAATAGTAACCCAAGTTTCAGACTACAACATGAGGTAACTATTGCACTTTTTCAGTGTTCTATATACAAAGGTTGACAATGGAACCCTATTACTAAGCCTTGGCTGTCCATCCATCTGCCATCGGATAGTGAACTGTTTTAGATAGGGATATTCTTCGTTCAAGTTATAGATAAGTAGTTCAAATTTTCTTTGATGTTGCTTTATTATCTTCTAAATTTGAAGCTACAGCCCTCATGCCGAATACGTGATTTTTTTATATTCACCACAGTATATAATCTTGCTTAAAGACAGAGACCAGTCCAATTTGTTCTTCATACATGCACAAAAAATGCATACAAAGGACATTGTTCTGCGTCCATACATAGTTAGCCTAAGAACCAACAAACATGAAATATTATTTTCCAGGTTCGAAATCGCAAGTTAATGACTGTAAAAACAAGGATTATTGACGGACACTTCTGAGAACTTAAATTATTAAGAAAACAAAAAAAAAATTGAGGTTATGTTTAATATTCAATGAAACATAGGTCAACCTATGAACTTAGTACCTATGAATTCAATATGAAGTGAATTAATATTACAACGAATTCATTTTATTCGGTGCGATTTTAAAGAATAACTATTAGGAAAAATTTGGTTAGGTAGGAACCATGAATAAATTAAAAACAGAAAAACTTTAGTTTTGCTTCTTATTTATTGACTATTTTTCACATAATTTTATCATATTGTATATTGTATTTATTTGTATATCACATGTATTTGTATATTGTGTAAATATGCAGCATCAATGTGTATCAGGTGCTCTTGAATAATTTGGCAGTATGATCCTCTCAGGATGTAGTGGCACAGATTCACTAGCACTTGGTAATAAGGTCTCTGCTGATGGCATATTAGATTAATAAATAGTTAAATTAAAGGAAAAACAATCTCAAATAAACACAACAGGTAATCCGAAACGAGAATGCACGAATGCCACAGATTACTACGAATGCAAACTGCCTGCACCACAACCACAGATTATCGAGTTTTATGCCGGCCCTTCACTTGACAACAGTTTGTCCTTGTCATGCTTAATAAGAAATGAAAAAGACAGACTGATGTCATGTTTTCAAATAGCAAATACGAATAGCCAAGTGAAGTGCCGGCATTAGGAAGAAAGTGTGTTTTGTTTGCAGCGTTGTCATAGATTATACACATAAAATGGTATTTATTGTCTCAGATTATTTTTTAACTTTTTAATTTAGCTTACTTATCTGGAAGTGTCCGTGACAATCTAAATACTGATAATTATCGCAAAAAATATACAAAGAATTATCATAAATGCCTTTAAAGTCCTTACAGCAGCCAAATTCAGAAAACTGTTACTTCGTGTTGTGTTCTGAGTAATGTTTCCATATCTCCACGAGGTATGGAACAAGATCAGGGTAGGCTTTACGCTACCACTAACGTACTCAGCTTCTGCAGGCGTAGGCTATACTGGTTCTTCATTTGGCATTTTTATAACAAAATAATCTTAAGAAACCAAGTTTATGAGAAACTTACGCGAAAAAAGAGCATTGATTAGGCGTTTATCATTTTTAGGGTTCCGTAGTCCTGACAAGGAACCCTCATAGTTTCGTGAAGTTCGTCTGTTTGTCTGTCCGTCTGAGGTTTTGATTTGGCACTAGCGAGCTGTAACTTTGTGGAATTATGTATATCAATAACGTCGACAAAACGGTAGAATATAATTTTGAATAATATTTTTTAGGGTTGTACATGTAACGTGGGGCAGCCGTTAAACCCTGCACTACGCGTGGCAGGACAAACACTTAGCTGGTTTTATTATAATTGCTTGTTAATTGTTTCTAGAATATTGCGTAGAAACATAACTTCATCATATAAGGAGTCTGTTAAAATACAAGAAATGGACTCCTTAAAATTTAAACTTTATTTAGGTAAATAATAAAAGCCCCATACCTATTGAGATCAGTTTACAGTAGTGTAAATATCTATTTACACAGGTATGGGCCAGACGTTTTCTTGCTGATAGATATTGTTTTAGGTTATCAATATGAGTGAAGTTTCAAGAAGCTTCTAACTTCAAATCCTATCAAGAACAAATAGGAAAATTCGGATTTCTACTTCAACTATAAAGTTTCGATTTCGATTGCCAAATGTTTGAAATACGTAAATGTGTTTAAAAGGCAAACTGAAAAGTATCCTAACTTTGGTGGCTGGGCCAGAAAATATTTATAAAAAAGGCAAAACCTGCCAAAATGTATACATTACTTTAGCGATGTGTAAATGTTTATAGGTAAATTGTTAATTAAATGACTGATTTGCCACACGTCTCATTTTAAATGTTTATTTAGACGGGTCTATACATGTTTATTTGTTTTGAATAATGAGAATGCCATTGTCACTAACAATATCTTACTTTTCTTCAAGAGCTCAGTGTGAAGTCTTATATCAGTGTAATACAATTGGACATACTTTTATTTTCGCACTGCTATTGAAGATGAGAAATAGTCTTATTATTGTTCTTTTTACATATATTGGATTAAGTTACGAATTCGTTGTGCCTTTGGGAATCTTGAAGGTGAGCAGACGTGTTTATTGAACCTTTTGAAAAATGTGTTTAGCTTCTTTATTGGAAAAAAAAATGTTTATACTACATTTCAATTTTTAATTGAGTTTATGAAAGTATTCCAAATAACAGAATATATATAATTATTACGGAAACTTTAAAAAAAAAAATGTTGCAGCTTCAAATTGACGATATTTTATCAGAAAATACCGAAGAAACACTTAAAACAGCCACAGATGTTAACTTACAAGATATAGATTATATTGTAATGCCATTCGAAATCGATACAAATAAGCCTAATGATCTTGAAAGTAATCAAAATCGAATAAACGAGAATGAATTGTATGACCAAAATAATAGTAGACAAAGTAAAGTTAATGAAAGATCATTTATTTACATAAATCAAAAATTTAGGTCTCCTGCATTGAGTCAGCTCTATAGTCCGAATGATTTTTTGGCGGATACTATATCTGTTATAGGCAATGAGAGAACAATTCATCATTATTCTGAAGGTAATCCTATAAAACCTTTGTATTCTAGAAATAGCCATTTAGCAACAAAAGTGAAGAACAGAGAACCTAGTCGTTCCTTATACTTTACCGATGAAAATCAAGACAGTTTAAAAGTGGTACCTCCTGTCATAGATAAAATAAATACTTTTAGTGATGTTTTCCATACTTCGGCTAACAATATCGCAAATTCAGAAACAACGCAGTACATTGAATTGCTTAAGCCTCCTATACTACGCTCATCAAATTATGTAAATTCAATGGAAAGAATGTCCTGGCAGGGTAATCAACCAAAAGTAGCAAAACACTATGATCAAAATAAGAAACAGAAAAATGGGCATGCTATCATACCATCTCCAAGTTATTTTGAAAAGACTTCAGTAAATTACGGATATCATAATTATGGGTTTCCGAGTTCACACGGAGAAGGGAGTCAAAAAAAAACAAAAGAAATTGAAGTATTTAGGCGTTTGAACTACCAGATTTCTGATAATAGTGAAGCAGCTATTAAACTGGGAGATAAAAACGTTGTTACTGACGTTATTTTAAGGAAATTATTGGATGATAACGCTGAAGTGAGTAAAATTTTACAAAAATACGTAAAAGATTCACGTACGAATTCTGTCTCTAACAAAGGATTAAATTTAAAAGTTAACTGCAATCACAGTGACTGTATTACAGAATCAAAAGTGCAATATGTAAATCAACTTTCTGCTAAAAGTAATTGTAGGTGTGACCATCATCGTTTAAATGTAACAATAAAAGGATTAAATGGGTTTGAGATGGATATTACGACGAAAAAAGATATTATGACAACAGACCCTTATTCTTTATCAAAATCATCAGAAATTGTAGATTATGGCGATTTTATAATGGATGACATGAATATCGAAAAGTGAGTATTTTTTTATTTCTCATGTTAGTCAGACAGGTATTAAAAATATTAATGTTGTTTATTTTTCTTTCAGGACAGTCAGAGAGTTAGTACAATAATTTCAATTTCATAAATATTTTTTATATTCAGTTAAAAGCAGATAATTGTTAATACATAATAAAAAAAATCGATAATGAAATAGGTTTGTTTTCTTCAAGTTATTCCACGATAATAGTCTAGTATACAGAAAAATACCGCATCATCGAGATTCAGAGATCTGCTGCGACCTCGAACTGGGATCAGGAACGTCGCAAATATTGCGATATACATATTTTATTTCACATTTCTCGCACCGCTCAGAACTTGATGAGGCTTTTCTACAAGATCAGGGTTGCCGTGTGACCAAATGAAATAAAAGTGAGATATTTCTGATCTTATTCAAAGCGGCTTGTACCCACCACATGTAGCTATTATATTGATATTTCTTAGAGAAATTATATAAGTTCCGAAGAACAACTTAAATGAACTGATTCTCATATTCTACTTATAAAGAAACAAAAGTTCCGAAAGATAAAGTAATTTTAACTTTCCGAATACATATGTTTTACTAAATAAACGTTGTCTTACGCTCATAATATATCAAATTAGTTTCTAATGTATTTTACAAGAATAGCTTTTTGATCTGAAATGACAGTTTTGAAGGAATCCAGTTACTACCTAATAAATAAATAGGCATAATGGTAATTCGATTATAATGTTGTAACTACATATTATATGATTTCCATCAGAAACTATCGTCTATATTACTATATGATTTTATTTTTGACATATAGTACTAAAATTTAGTCTAGGTTTGACTAGCGAACAAACTTAGGTATGTGTGAGCCGGCTGAACATATCATGATTAAAATTAAGCAGCACTTAAAATATTTGATCATATAAATAAAGAAAAAAAAATTAAGTTTCAATAGTATCTCCTTAAAATAAAATTACTATTATAGTATTTTTTAAATGTTGCAACGCACACCGCAGCTAGTAAATGATTGAGGACGCATTGTTTGATAATAGTTAAATTTGACTACAGTTCAAATACTATAGAAAAATAATATCTAAAAAAAACACATCTTCTATGTATTTTAACTATACTCTTTTATTATTAGTAGAAGATCCGAACCTACATCTACCTTCACCGAGCTGATAATAGAATGAAACATTTTTTATCATGATTTTAGTATATTACAAAATATATTAAAAATGGGTTACCTAAAAAATCCTTGACAGACTACTTTAATTATTAAAACAAATATAAAAGAATATGTTGCAACATCAAGATAATAAGAAAATGTTATCCTGGCTTAAAGTATAAAACGTGAAGAATGTGCAGCCTTTGGATAAAGTAACTGGCATCGACATACCTGTTTATACCTGGCAACCCAGTAGTTCGGCGGTAAATAATAGACAACCTAACGGCTGCAGAGATGTGACTTATTTGAGATAAAAGTATCTAAGACACAGATACAAGGTACAAATACGTATTTGTATCTTGTATTTAAATACTTTTTTCAATATCTTAGTATTTTGAAGATACTTTTTACTAAGATACTTTTTCTTTTCCTATATAATTTTTAACATTGATTTTAAAACGCATGCATTTTTGTAAATTAGCGCATTTCTATTCTAAGCCTAAGTGCATTACTTTTCTATCAACTTTATTCACCGTGAAAAGAAAATCGTAAGTTCATATTTTGCCGTCTCGTTCACCTTAATGTTATGGGTTAGGTGGTAGTGAACCAAAAATACGTAACTTCCCCTACGGTACTCTTTTTTGATAGCGTTTACTAGAGGAAGAAGAGTCGTTTGAAATTTGTGTCAATTTTCTTTGGTCTGTTTTGTAATGGAGTGAAATGAAGATAATAATCAGGTTAATAATTAGAGAGAGAGAGAGAGACCGGAGCTTAATAATGATATGATATCTTGAACATGACCATTCGTAAACACTGCATATTATTAATAATCGCGGTCACCCATCCCAAACCCAACCAATCGTAAACCCAACCAATCGTAAACAACCTGCATATTATTAATAATCGCGGTCACCCATCCCAAACCCAACTAATCGTAAACAACCTGCATATTCATAATCATGGTCACCCATGCTAAACCTGACCAATCATAAACACTCTGCTCTCTATCATTAATTCATAGTTCTTCATAAATATTGAAGAAACGTGAATGCAAGTAAGATCAATCGTAAGATGATAATGATGAATTTGATGATTGGAAGAACAGCAGCCACGTCTTTGGGTTCGTGGCCTAACGGTTTTGTTATCGAAAAACTGGTGCAGCGGACTGGCTATATTGCTAACATGTTTCTGTCTTTATCTTATAAAAAGTTTTTTGAAAATGCGTATCTTGTATGTAGTATTTCAAATACTTTTTCCAAAAGTATCTTGTGTTTGTTATCTAAATACTTGACTATCTGGTATTTTGTATTTTAGATACTTTTTTTAATGTATTTGTTACATCTTGTATAAATATATAATGATACTTATAAGTCAATAAGTAAATTCATTTATATATATTTATTAATTTATTTAATTGAGGTTTTATTGTTTAATATTTTAGTATTATAATATTATTATAATTATTATTATTTACAACTTAAATGTCAGTTGTGCCATGTTGTGTCCTTTATTATTACACGCTATACTCAATTCGGATGTCTCTGTCACACATTTCCACTCGCGTTAAAATTAAAATCTTCAAAATTCGCAAACCCCTATTAGGACCAAGTTTTTTGCAGACAACCCTATATCACCGTGTTCGCAATAAAACAACGCTCATATTGATATAATTTTTTTTCGATTATCTAATCGAGTGAAGGTAACTGGCATCGACATACCTGTTTATACCTGACAACCGAGTAGTTTGTCCAGGTAAATAATAGGCAACCCAACGACTGCATATTCTATACGTTTCATACTTTAAGTCAGGGTAAAAATTTTCTTATTATCTTGATATTGCAAAAATAAAAAAAAAGCATTTTTTTTAAATAAATTAAAAATTGTCTGTCCAGGATTTTTTTAGGCAACCCATTTTCAACATATTTTCTAACATACTAAATTTGTTATAAAATATGATTCATTCTATTATCAGCTCGGTGAAGATCGTTTTTAGTTCGGATCTTAGACTAAATATTATTAGCTCGGTGAAGGTCGATGTAAGTTCGGATCTTAGACCATATGTATCAAGCAACGGAGGCACGGTAATAATATCACACAGTATTCTATCTTCATACAAACGGTCGGAAAGCGAGTCATACCTACGCCACTCGAGTTCGATGTGCTCTCGGCGGGCACCCAGTCGCGAATGCGCCGCCGCGCGCCGCAACGACGACCGAACGGTCTGAATTGTTTTTTATGCAGTTAGCCGTGCTTAAACGTGCGTTTTGTATTGTAAATATTTGATTTAATTAAGTAGATACCTACATAATTTAGTATGGAAAAGAACAAACGACGATCAATATCGTACAACAGCACAATTGCTGTTTTTGGTTGCTTGAACTCTTCAATAACACACCCAGAGATATCATTTTTTAAATTACCTGAAATATTGGAAAGGTGTCTTACCTTTATAGAATATTTTTTATATACCTATCTACTAGTACGTTATTTGTTTCTAATATTTAGGTATTTCGGTTTTTCCATCGGGCAAAATATCTGGAATAATATATAAATATGTAAGTGGTTAGGATGAAAAAAGAGACAATCGAGTAATCTACCTACACTCGCGTTAAAAACAAAACTACATAAAATACTGTAGGCTGGCGGCCCTACCGCGTGCCAACGCAGCGCTCGGTGTAGGCATTTATTTTCAAGGACAGGGCGGAGTCACAATACTGTATAGATAATATTACCGTGACGGAGGTTTGTTTTCGATGGCGTAGCGTTTGACTTTCACAAGAGCTTGTAACAGCCTAGACTGAATAAATGAGTTTGAGTTTAGTTTGAGTTTGAGTTATTGTGTCAGATGGACGATCCAATTCAAGAGAGCTATCCGATGTGGAAATCCCTTCTTTACTAAATTAGTTATGAAAACCAACACACTTTTGACATTGAAGGGTCAGTAAGTATTATACATTGCGATGCTGTACCTCTGCGTCGTGAGTGTGTACTTAAACTCAAATGTTAGTTTAGTATTGGTGTAAGTAGAGATAAGACGCTGGCTGAGAATGCCTTAAAACGTTAATGTACTCCGCAGTCCATGGTAGCTGGTCATTCACCGAATTGCGTTCTAAGCGCAGTTGGAGTATGCCAGTTGGCTTTCAGAGCGCGTAAATCTAGATAGCGTGCGCTCAAAGTAATCGCGATGAGATCGCGCCGCGCGCACACCAGTCGTTGCAGATGAAAGGCAAACATTGCGACGCCCACAGATGTCCAGATAGCCAATAGTTGTGATATAGAGACTGCATGGAACGCGCCAAATGACAATAAATAAAATCCTTCTATAAAGTCGCATTTACATTATGAAAGTAAAAGTATTTGGATGTTCTTTACTGAGGCCGCGTTGTTTCATCCATATAAAGATCCGTTAAATTTTACTATAGTTGAAGTCATGTCAAATATATAGTAAATGTGTAAAAGCTTCACAAATAGTTTTTTATTAACTTATATTTTAACTATTCTCAAATTTAGCTATGGATGAAACAAGGTCATGCAAAAACTACTGAACTGATTTGCAATAAATTTAGCACACAGATCTCATCACCTGGATTGAGACATCCTCATCAGCCTATCAATATCCTCACTGCTAGGGCCTTTAATGGAATAGGGAGTTTGGCTTTGAACCATGACGCGGCCTAGTATGGATTGGTGGGTGCTATGCAAACGACTGCCTGTCTGAGCTCAACTGAAGCACGGTGGAGGTTTCACTGAACGGAAACCGGTTGTTGTTAATTTTACTGTCGCCTTAAAGTTTGAGTCGCAATATACTCATGCCCTGGTGCGTATATACCCTAGGGTCAAGAGCGTCATGGCCCAGGGCGGCTGAAACCATAAAAGGTATTCATTTCTGACCTATATTTCGATTTGATATACTAATTTTAGGAGGAGGGGTGCAGATTGGAAGTGGCCCGGGGCGCCAGTTTTCAAAATACGCCCCTGCTCGTACCTTCCGGATACGGAATGAATC